TTCCACACGGGGTTAACGAGGGGGCGTGGCACACGGAAGAAGCGGACAATCGGGGCAGGACACATTGTTTGGATACATTTATTTTCTTACTTTAAAATTACTGTTTTGATAAATGTACTTAGATGTGTTTAGTACAGTATATGCTTTTCTTGTTTTGTCTGGTTCATTTTGTGTTTAAATGCTAAAAAAAACATATTTCGGTGTAATTTTTTGGGGGCGGGAACCAATTAATTGGTTTTCCATTTCTTATGGGGAAAATTTGATCCGGAGTTCTGAACGGATTAAGTTCGAGTTCTGAGGTACCACTGTAATAAGTAAATATGACTCCATCCATCCATTTTCTGTACCCAATTGTTTTATTCAGGGTTGCTGGGCTCTGGAAAATGGATGGATAGATCAATGGTAAATATGACTGCCACTTGGCATCAAAATAAGGATGCAAATAATCAGCTGTAACCTGGAAGTAGTTTCGCTAACAACAGTATGTTCCAAATTATACAAAAGTAAAACATTCCCATGTACCAAGTGATGCCAAACAAAAAAAAATGTATATTGTATATGTGGCATGTGGAAGTGTGGCAGGGAAACATGGTTCAGTCCATAATGTGTCATCAAAACTGAGAGTGGATAGTATAGAATAATAATATACAACATTTATTAATAGGAAGGGCCTTATATTACTTCATATTGCTTGTCCTACTCAAGCTATCAAATTATCCCCCACCTGCAAAAACTGTTCATACAGATGTTTGATGCTCTTAAGCTTCTGACTCTGAATGACCCTGGCCTGCTGAATTATCTTTTGCTGCTGTCTGAACAAATTCTGCCAAGAATATAAAGAGAATGAAACTCTGTTATATCACATTTAGTGCTTGTATTCAGCCCTGTGATCGTATACTGGTTAAGCGGTTGCAGGATGGATACATAGATTGATGGACTCACATCCAGCTTGTCTTCCTGTTCTTTAGATCTCTGTGAATCATTCTCCCACTGTTGCAGCAGAGAAGCCACCTGCTGGCAGTGGTCCTGGGTCAGCTTCTGCCTGCAGGATTAAAAGGTAACACAATTATATATGCATGCTAATGTATCACATGTACTGTTTTGGCCTGAATATTAGACAGCCCTATCTTTATAAAGAAAAATACGTTTATTTGACACAAACATACAGTATAAGAAGTTAACCATCTAATCACAGATAATAGTATTACTATAAGTGTATTAAATTTGAAACTAAACATTCCAATAAACTAACTATTTTTTGCGGGGGGGAGAGAGAGATAGTCAATATTACAAACCCTACAACCTTAGAGGGCACAGAATGTTTTCAATGCAGCAGACCCGCATACAGAGGTAAGGAGCTCACACTGATATAGCACCACACAACGAATCATTTCAGGGGTGAGAACCTGAGTGCAGCCATGGGGCTGGTGATACCTCAGCACCACACTAGTTGTGATGGAATGGAACAGTGTGAAGCTTTTTTCGGTTGCAGGAGAGCCAAACCAGCCACCAACGCCCAAATTTTCCCTGGAAGTTGGAGGATCTGCTTGCAGGGCCAGATGTAGATTAACGTCATACCCAGGATGAAGCAATTGCAGGTTAAGGGACAAAGTAGAATCAGCCCAGGAATTCACCGGCTTAAAAACCTAGTCTCTAGGCACACATCCCTGCCCTCAGAGCCACCATTCCGCCCACATACAGTGTGGAAAAAAATGTATTGTAGCGAGTGTGTGTCATTTTAATAATGGGCATGAAGGCTCTTTAAAATGAAAGCTGCTCTCATTATTAACACCCACTATTTGTTAATACTGGTAACAACACAGATGGGGGAAATTTACATGACACAAACGGTTACACACTAGTGAAACACACACATTCCACAACAAACATTACATAGACATTCACGATTAACATATATACACAAACACACATATCAATTTACACTATCTAAAGATGCGGCCAGTACTGTGCAAATCATATCAATAACTGTATAATTAGTCCAGTAGACCAATCCTGTGACTTCAAATTACGTCACCCAATCACAGATTGTGGGTGGGATTAGAACAAGAGTTCACCTCAGGGACACTAGACAACGTAGCCTTCTTCCACCAGCACAGTGTTGGTTCTGGTAATGAGCTGATGCCTAATTTTATACTGGTTCCATGCTTTTCCACTGTCGATTACCTGGTGCCGTGTCCGAAAAACTGCCTGCAGCACATCACTACAGAATTGGTGTTCTGAAACTGTAAACCCATGACATCGCCATGTGGAAAGGGGCTACGATGCACTGTAAACCAGTGTTTGTTTTGTTTGAATTTAGCATTTGCTGGAAATCATTGGAAAGCTGGAGGAAGTAGGCTACTAGTATGGCGCTAAGTATTAACACATATTAAAAACTAAAAAAAAAAAACTACTGAAACTACAAAAAAGAACTCAAAAAGTTAAAAAGTGTGTGTGTATGCAAATATATATTTTTATTTGTGTTTGTGTGTCTCTGTATATACAGGCAGTTCCATGGTCACGAACACTGTAAGAATGTCGGAACAGCTACTTACGGTTCTTATTTCATGTCAGTTAGTGAAACATTTGTCTTACTGTATAGCACATATTTACTGGACTGTACAGAACCTCTAGCCAACATTATAGCAATGCATTATATTTAACTCAAATATTTTCTCCAAACTGGTTTCATGGAAGTCCATTCATAATACGAGTTGTCCATAAGTCGGGTGATCTTAAACTGGGGACTGCCGATGCACATACCTATAAGCTAAAACATTACGATCACCCCCACATGACAACTAATGTTGACTATCATAAAAACAGAGCATGTGAAGGTCTGAGATATATTAGGAGGTAAGCAGCAAACATTTGGTGCTTGTAGCTGACGTGAATTCAGAAAAAATGGGCAGGGGTAACAACCTAAGTAACTCTAATTTCGGCTAAATACTTATGGTCGGGCGACTGAGTCAGAGTGTCTCTTAAACAGAAAGGGGAATGCTCTTGGTAAGCTGTGGTGAATACCTACCAAGAATGGTCTGAGGAGGGAAAAACCACAAACCACCAACAGTATGTTGGGCAGCCAAGACTAATCATCGGAGATGTGAATGAAGGATATCCCGTGTGGTACAAACCAACAGAAGGACTACTGCAGCACAAAGGGCAGATTATTTGGATGATCATCACGGGAGTAATGAGTCACAACACACGGTTGTCACAATACACCTGCTGAGTATGAGGCTGCATAGACACAGTCAGGGTGCCCATGCTAACCGGTATCTGCAATTGAAAGCACCTACAATGGGCACATCAAAACAGGATAATATAGGTGTTAAAGAATAAATCAAATGATCATATAAAACTGTGCATTGTGTTTACTCAGGTTGTCTTTTGTATTATACTAAATTTGTTTGAAGATCAGAAAAACATTTAGTGTCATAAGTAAAAATAGAGGAAATTAGGATCAAATACTTCTTCACAGCAATGTAGGCATACAAACATGTACGTACATACTAACTGATAACCGCTGCCAGGGATATAATAATAATTTCATACCAGTCCACTCCCTTGCTCCAAACTCCCACAGCTTCAGGGAACTTACCAATCACAGTACAGGCACTGCAGTAAACGTGTGGCCATGCAACCCCTGTACAGACACTGCTTGTACTGTAATTTAGTGGCAGTGTACCGCTTGCATTTGTTGTCTTCCCCTGCTCACCTCTGTTCCTGCTGAGCTTTCCAAAGCTGCTCCAGTTTCTGGGTGCTGCCTTTCAGAGATGTTCTGGTGAAAGCCTCCAGACGCTTCTTCTTAGCCTGAATGGCCTTGCTGATGTCCTCTGTAGGAGACATTTCCAGTGATGCGCTTAGAGCATGTTGTTTTAAATGCACACTAATAACCAGCCGCCAGTACTGTTTAAACCAGAAACAGTAAAGAATAAAACAAGCGGAGATCTAGAAACAGAAAGAATCCTACTTGCCTCCAAACCGCTCCAGCATAGTCTGGACTTCATTCCTAAATGTGCAAAGGATACAGAAGTTTATTTATGTGGCACATTTCATACACAGGGGCAATTAACTAAACAAGAGGAACAATACATTGTAACAGGCAAGTAAATATAATAAAATACCATAAAAATAAAAAGACATAATAACAGGTATACTGTAAACAAGAAAAAGACAACTTAAAATTTCAGGGCACTGCACTATACTGCACTAGATTTTTGAGTTTTGAGGACTCAAACTTTTAAGTTTTGAATAAAACCACCTATTGTTATACCAACTAATTATATTTTTAATATGTATAAAAACTTCACATTTTTAGTAGAATTGCTAACAAATGTGCCAACTGTCAGACTCAAAGTTTTTACACATATGAAAGACAAATCATCTGAAAGACAATAAGTTGGCAAATTTGTTAGGTATTCTTAGCATGTAAAACAAAACAAAAAAAAGTTTTTATACACATTAAAGATAAATTATCTGAACTGAAAATAATCAGTTGGCATAACAATAGGTGGTTTTCTTCAAAACTTAAAAGTCTGAGTTGCCCTAAAAACTCAAAAATCTAGTGCAGTAAGTTACCTTGAAATTTCAAGTTGTCTTTTTCTTTTTTACAGTGTAATTATGGTTAAAATACTGTACAATAAAAAGAATCTAAAAAAGTACATAACTTACAAGAATTTCTACATCTGGGATCAATAGCGTGTATGTTATCTTAATCATGAAAGGGATTGTGCCGTTACATCTGTTCAGCACTGGCTGCTACAGAAAATAGGGTAAGATTGCAGTGATAACGGTGCCGACCCCACAGCCATCTGCATGTCGTCCTCCGCCGATGCGCATCTTTTCTTTCCTTTCTCCACTATCGGGGTCTCCTCTGCAGGATGGGATAAAGGAAAAGGCATCCGTATAAATGCGGCAGGCACAGCCCCAGGTTCGCACGCAGGTGGAGGCTGGCCATGCACCTTCCTTAAGGTCCTCCTCCGAGCCACTCAGGTCACTCTTCACCTCCTCCACGGCGAAATCGAACACCTGGAGTGGGTCAGTCGCTTTCCCGGCGATTTTGCCTGTCTTTTTCTTCCTCGCTGCGGATGCCATGGTGTCTAATTGGGATGAACCACTTGTAATGCACTGTAAAAAAGAAAAAGTTAAGACAACTTAAAATTTCAAGGCGACGTACTGAACTAGATTTTTGAGTTTTGAGGGCAGTCAGTATCTTTCGTATTTATAAAAACTTAAGATTTTTAGTTTTATATACTAAGACTTCCTAACAAAAGTTGTTCCAACCTATTGTCTTTTCTTAAGATTTATTTTTCATATCTGTAAAGACTTCATATCTGTAATTTGAGTTTACCATACTAAGGCTTCACTCAGTGCTCAGGGGTACAAAAACAGGACTGGGCTGGTCTTAAACTGGCAATCTTTGGGTCAGAGGCATGGAGGTTTAACCCACTGAGCTACATGCTGCCTCCTAGGATTAGGATGCTCTGTGAGCTAAGCATCAGCACATGTGGGGGCCCTTGAGCAAGGCCTGTGACCCCCAGCTCCCTAGGCACCGCAACAGGTAGCTGCCCTTCACAGTCAAGTTTGCTGTCATTTCCCACAGGGATCCTCAAAATGTGTCTGCTATTATTTATTACTATCATGTTTAAAATAAACATGCTAACTGAACTGTTTTGTTATCTTCATTTATAATTAGTTGGCACATATTTTGCGGATTTAAATTCTTAGCATGTTTAACTCAAATTTGTAACTTTTTACGCATATGAAAGATAAATCATCTGAACAAAAGAGAATAAGTTGGCACAACTTTAGATGTTTGCAATCCTTAGTATGTAAAACTAAAAATCGTTAGTTTTATAGATATGAAAGATTACCTGAATAAAAAATAATTAGTTGTCACAACAATAGTTGGTTTTCTTCAAAACTTTAAAGTTCGAGTCCTCAAAAATCTAGTGAAATTTTAGGTTGGCTTAACTTTGTTTTTTTTTACCGTTTGGGGGTCGAAATTAAGGCTCCGACGTGACATATACTGGCACAACTTTGTTCATGTTATAGTTCTATTATTATTATTATAGTAATAATGATATATGTAATAATACCAAAATTATAATAATAAGCATTATTATTACTATTACTAGCCATAATTATGATTATCGCCTGCTTGAGGGATAGACAGTGGGCAGGCGTTAACTACTTGGCTTATTAAGCAGCGAGTTATATTCCCTCTGACATTTTAACTATCATTTTCCTCTGTTTTAATGTCGCATTTTAACGAGTATTAAAACTTTAAATTATGAAGGTAAATTTTTACTACGCATGTGATACTGTCTGCTTATTCACTTTGGCTAGCAAGTTAAAATGCGTTTCCCTGTTTTCTTACCTCACTGAATACGTGCTTTGTCACTTAAAACTGTTCACATGGGTGATTGTTTCTGAAATACTACGGACTATACTAATAAATAAGTTCACAGGGAGTCAGAGTAAATGGCAAAGCCGATTAACACGTACCGACCTGCTCTTCACTGACCGCGCCGAAACCGTCAGGGCGCGCGCTCACGAGGCTGAAGGCTCCTTCTGGTCCACCTTAAATACCGAATGCAATTACGCGATCGCGCCTGCAGGGGGACGCATTTCACCGAGGATTATTACCTTCAGAACTTCATTTGATTTTCAATCCGTGTTAACAATTAGCACGCTTCGGCTGAGTTCTTATCACTTTGAGGACACGGCAGTTTCAGTAATAGTACAGTATGTGTGTACTTTATTAGAAAAAGAGACAAATTTTATTGTTTTTCCTGAGTTTTTCCACTCCCAATTCAGCGGGAATTGAGTTTGAGCGTGCTAAGTTAACAGGAATTGAAAGTGAGCAAATCCTATTAAATAGTATATAACTCTATACAGTTAAAATAGACAATATTTTTTGGTTTGCCCAGTGCCTCATTCCTCTTCAAATCAAACACTGTTTGCATCTTTAAGTGAAGCTGATAGTGAGTAATACAATTTACACTATTTAATTAAAAAGGACACTATTACAGTTAGGTCCATATATATTTGGTCACTGACGCAAATTTTGTTATTTTACCTGTTTACTGAAACATATTCAAATAATGAGGCCATTATGAATATCATTCTTTTATTTTTTTGTTTAAATCAACTTTAAACATACTTGGATGCATTCCTAGCTTACAGATGTATATCACCCTCAAGGACAAAATCCCAGTGCAGAGAGCTTACTCCACTGTCCCTAAACCACTGTTTAAAGACATGAAAGGCTGAATTGTCCAATCACATGTCCTCTTATGCTGCCCCAGTGGCTTGCATCCATGAGAAAGACGGCACCCTTTGACTATGCATAGATTATCATCTATTGAATCAAAAGACCATCACTGATCTACTACCTAGAATACAAGACCTGATGGACACACTTAGTGGTAAACAAGAGATGCCGAGACGGCAAAGGCAGACAGGAGCATTGTTAAAATAAGACACGTAATTACAAACAGACAAGACAAAAACAGATGAGTTATGACAGCAACAGCAGCAGCAGCAACGCCAGACACAGGCGCCATCTTGCCAACCAAGATGCCAAGAAAACTTTTACTTTATAACATTCCCACTCCTAATAGTATAAACCCAACCCTAGTGAGGGAACAAATACTTCATCTTGTCCCAGGACATCCCAGTTTTCCCACTTCAGACAGTATAATCTGTAAAACACAGGCATCCTTACTGGGATAACATCGTTGTCACAGACACCTTTACTGGGCAGATCTTCAGGGATCCAGCATTAATACCACCTTCTATTAAACATGGACTGAAAAATGGAAACAGGGTCCCAGTGAACGTGTCTTTAAAGGTGTAGATGAGTGACTTGTCAGCAGGGTTGAAGAAGGACACCTCCCCCTTGTCATAGTCCAGCTGCACTCTGATCCTCTGCGGTTTCCGCTCCAGTCTCAGCCAGGTCCGAGGTGAGGTACCTCCTTTATACTCATCACCATTCCTCAGAAGTACAACCCAGATTCCATCCTCCGGTTTGCATATAATCCCCCCCTTCCTGTTAACAGATCCTTTTGCTACTCCTAGATCCCACTCAGTTTTGTCCTCCACCTCCACCTCCCAGCTGTGTTTTCCTGAGTTAAACCCCTCAGAGCCCAGCACACAAACACAGGGGAAGAATCTCTCTGGACTGTCAGGAAGCTGCTGTTTCACTCCAGTGTTTCTCACGCTGGTAAGATCATCAGACACAGAGAGCCAGGGGGCTGCAGTGTTTGGGTCCAGAGTCACAGGAGCTGCGGGTTGAAGAGGAAGCTGCAATTAATAACCTTTCTCAATACAGTAAAAACCATCAGTATTTTAAGGACATCACTGTGAATAAGACAGCCCTGGAGCGCGGCCACTGCTGGCAGACTTGTTTTTACTTTTATATTCTTGGTCTTGTCATTATTTTCTCAATCACTTTTCTTTTTAATTACATACAACAGCCAAAATCCTTGTAAACTGAGGCAAAAAAATCTACAAGGTGAGAAAAGAGAGGCAGCTGTATTCTTCCTCACTAACAGCTCATTTCCCAGCAAGAAACCAGTATTTCTCTCCTCCCCCCTGGAAAGTGGCTCAGAGCCACCAGCACATGCACTGCAGGATTTAATGACAGTTTTAATCCTAAGGTTGTAAGACTGTTTAGCAGTTATTAATAGCAGTATTAATGCAGTTAATGTCTGTGTTATTTTTGTACTGTAACTCAACCACTATAGTGACAAATATACAGTGTTGGGGAAGCTACTTTTAAACGGTAGCTTTTCCAGCTATAAGCTACTTATGATTAAAAGTAGCTAAGCTAGCCACTGTTTTAATATATTAGCTACACTACAGAGAAAAAGTTGCTAACTACATATAAGCTACAGTTATTATTTGTGCTGTATGATACTCTTAAAGCAAACTAATAAAAAAAATGTGACATAAAATGTGACAAATGGATACGAATGTATACTGTACTGTGACCACCGCGAATAGTAGCCTGAGCATGAAATGAATGAATGGGAAAGGTACCCCTGCTCTGCTTTTATTTTTTAATTTTGCATCACAACTTTGCTCCTTCCGTTTGTGAATTGACAGAGAACACATAAGTTGCACCACAATCCATACTATTTTAAGCTATTTTACAAGAAATTTTGAGAAACATAAGTTAAATAAAATGATTGCTGTGTAGTCTTATACTTGCAAATAAGTCTCATAAAGGTAGTGGGGAAATGCTAAAGGAACAACCTAGTTACCAACAGTTTGCATGCATATTTTTCCGTTTTAGTTAAAGACATAAGTTTTTACAGTAGTGATCAAAATTTGAGAACCAGTGACATTTTGTAATTTACAAAGTTACTGTTTATTTGAATTCGCAGTTATCCATGAATTGACGAGATTTGACAGAATACAGCACCTGGCCCAGACAATATTAGTGGCCGTGTTCTACATCATTGCGCAGAGCAGCTGGGGGGCGTGTTTCAGCTCCTGTTTCAAAGATCAGTAGAGAGCTGCACAGTTCCCCAGCTATGGAAGCATTCCACAGTGGTCCCCATCCCCAAGAAGTGCTCAGTCAGGGCTCTGAACGACCTTAGGCCTGTGGCTCTGCACATCGTCAAGGTGACTAAAGCTCTGATGGACCCTCTCCAGTTTGCATATCAGGCAGGTGGAGGGGTTGATGTTGCAAAACTATTCATCATGGACACCATACACAGGCACCTTGAACGTCCTAACACCTCAGCTAGACTTTTTTAGACTGTTTGCTGACTTTTCAACAGCATTCAATACTATGGAGCCACATATCCTTGAAACTATCCTCCCGCTTCCACCTTGATGACCAGCTAGTTCTGTGGATCCTAGATTTTTTAAACAACAGAACATAGGGAGTGCTGGTTAGCAACATCTTCTCCGACCTCTCCTTCTCCTCCACTGGCTCTCCTCAAGGCTGTGTCCTCTCACCCCTACTCTTCATCCTCTACACAGATGACTGCAGGTCTTCCCACCCTGACTGTTATCTGATGAAGTATGCGGATGACACTGTTCTTCTGTCTCTGCTCTGTGGCCCTTCTCACCACCACAACGCAATGCTCCACAAGTTTGTGGAGTGGTGTGACCACGCCTCACT